TGGCCAGTTTCGCCAAGAGGTGATCGTGGGATACCAGATCGAAGGCTTTTTTGAAGTCAAGATATATGACATCAATCTCTTCTCCCTTGTCCAGGTGATAGGTCACCTGGTCATAGAAGGAAATGAGATTGGTCAAGCAAGACCTACCCGCAACAAACCCATGCTGGCTATTCCCCAGGATGTTGGCGTCGGCCAGTCCATTAAGGATGGCCTCTTTAATAAACTTTTCTAAGATCTTCCCCGGGACAGAAGTCAGGCTGATGGGCCTATAGTTAGCTGGATCCACTTTCCTCCCTTTCTTGAAGATAGGCACCACATTGGCCTTCTTCCAGTCTTCGGGCACTACACCAGAATGCCACGAGTTTTCAAAGATCCGATCCAGTAGACCAGTAAAGGCAGCAGTGCTGCAAGCTCCCTACCCACTTCTCACACTGATGTCTCCAGAGTGAGAATCCACCTAGGGACTTTGCCCCACTACTCACTTGCCCTCCCAGATTTATCTAGGAAATAAGGGGAATACCTTTCACCACCTCCACCTCTTCCCCAAACCAAGCAGTCTTTATTTTCGGGAAGAAGTAGAGGGCTTTGCCAAACCAGTTGCCTTCCCCTTGACACCTGCACTGCCCAGCTGAATGATGGGGGCAGTGATTTAAAAGGTGGCAGGGCCAGAAAGTGTTCATGACCTGTATCTTTCAATCCATGGTGCCCAAATATGAAAACAAGGATGTCAACTGGCCCAGTAAAGCCCAGAAAATTTCCTACTCTGTGAAATGCAAGAAATAGGCTCTTCATCAGATAAAACTAAAAGGACCACCCATCTTGCATTTTCTTTAATCTGGACTATCTGTTCCTTTAAAGAAACTAGTCTCCCAAAATTCAATGCAAGGATCTAAGCATGAGATTTCATACTTTTTCATCCAGTACTGGAATCTACTTTCATCTTTTTATCTCACACTAGTAAAGTTTTTTTTTTAGGTTTGGGGTATTTTTAAAATTTTAATTAGCTCATTTCACAAGGTTTTGCTCCTTTTCAGAAACTACTGCCATTCTGGAACAGGCTGATCCAGGCATGTGAGGACAGCAGAGGGCCAAAACACGAATAGCACTGCGCTAAAGCATATAACAACAGGATTTAAAACAGACCCCAATCTGTGTGCCTCCTTTGTTGAGATACAGAAAGGATCATCCCTTTTCAGAGTATTACTCCCTGGCTTTAAGTCTCCTCAAAGTCTGATATGCAGTTTGAGATAGCAATCCTGCAATTTATTTAAGTAAAACTCCTAACTCCCACCTTTCTTAGTTCTTTTAATCACTTGGAATAGAGATCTATCCAGGGAAGAACAGTTCTTTGCCAAATTAAACTCATGTTTTTAGAATGGTTGCCTTCTTGAATGGATTTATACTACTGATTTAGTAACATGACTGGTTATTTTATCTTTGGGGGCTCATGTGGAGGGAGAGAAGATAAATCAGGTGGACATGCAACCTCAGCGAAGACTGCTGTCCAAAAAAGTCCAGATTACACATCAAGAGTGGACATCACAAATAGGATATTCATGCAACCAATTCCAGCAAAGACTCATAATCATAAGAAATCATTATTTATTAGCCAAAAAACAAAGAATAACTACTAAAATATATGTATTCAGGATACATGTCCAGTCATTAATGCTGGATGAGTGTGTGGCAGAACTCCAGGTGGTCATCTGATAGAGCTCGATGCACTCTAATAAAATAAAGTTGCTGACCTTCAAGAATGGGCATCTGAGCTAAATCAGAGCAAATGGAAATGCATTCAATGATGCACTCTGACAAGTGTTATTTGAACATGAGATGCCCTCAGCTTTAACCCCATAAGCTGAGAAGAGATAAAGGGATTTTTGCCTTGTCAGTATATAGCAGCATAAAGCCCATTTGAGCCATTTCTTATGATAAGCAGCCTCACTTTGGGAAGATTAGGATGAAGAATGAAAACTCATAAAGAAATAAATGGGTTCAGGTAAGAATACACTTAGCATCAGATCCAAGAACACTTAAGGAACTCTCTAAAATATTGGGCCAGTATGAGAAAGAGTAAGGGAATCAAACATATGGCTCGTGGGCAGGATCTGGCCCATGGAACCATTCCATCCAGCTCATCAAGCTACCACTGGGTGAGAGTCTAAGGGTGCAACCAACAGCAAGCAGTGGCCTGCTACAGAATCTGGGGCCCAGGTGCACATGGCCACCAGCAGCAGGGTGAAGCAAACAAGGGCCATGCCCATATAGCCTCTGCATACTCTGCTGCTGCTTACACTGCCTCCACCATGGCAAGCAGTCACCTGGCTCATGGCCATTTGCCCCACTGCTACCACAGCAGCCACTACTGCCACCTCACCATTGCCCCAGGCTAGATCCAGCTCACAAGAAGCCCCATATTCCAGATCTGGCCCAGTACACAAAGTGAGTTTGACACCCCTGAGATACAGTATTTAATACTCTCCATTTAAAGTATGTGGAACTTAAGTGGCTATCTCAGATTTCTGAAATCTATTCCCAGAGGTGAGTTTCAAAGATTCAGGGGGAAGAAGCACTTTGTTAATCTCATCCTGAGTCCTTTATTGGATCTAGCCCCTGGTCCTACCCAACTTCAAAAGTTCCAAGATGAACCGCAAGTAAATCTAGGTGAGTTTTAGTGAATTAAATCTTCAGACCAGACTTGACCGTGACATTAAATCCACAAAAAGAAATAAGAAGTAACAGATATCATCCTATCAGAAGGCACATTGAGCCATGTGCTCCATCAATTAACCAGTGCAAAATAATGTTTTAGAGTTGTGCGTGAAGAATAAAAATAAAAATGGAATTATGAGCACAAGAGAGGGGAAAAGCAAACGACTGAATGTGTTGATTATAACATTTTCTCAAAATAAGCTAAACAGCCTGAACTAACCATGCTGTTCTACAATAAGACAAAAAATGATGGATGCTTTTCTTTTCTTGGCATAATGACAATTTTTAAAAGTTGACAGAAAAATAGCTACAGTAAAGGTCTCTAGAAAATCCATAAGTATTGTCTAATACTTCAAACTATATTTTCAATATACCAATCAGTTCAAAGCAGTCAACCACATACATCCCAGAGAGATACTTCATAGAAACTGCATAACTCAGCACTTCCAGAAAAACAAGAAAACTAAATCAAAAATGGGTCCTCAGTACCTTCTTTTTAACTGACGTCTGCTATAGCTTGAAAAAGGCTCATAGAAATCCCAAGGGAAAAACTAATTTAATAATTATATCAACAATATTATGTGTTACATTTTTTTAAAAAAATAAAAGCTCTTGAATTGTTCCAGTAATATAATCCTGGAACTGAAATACATAGAAATGGAAAATCCATCTTAGCTATGAATGGCATTAAGATAACTGTATTTAAAATTAATCATAGAACATAAAAGCAAAACAAAATGTTTGAATACTGCGTTAAGACTGTGATTTAAAATAGACAGAACTGAGAAAATGTAGATATATCTTCACTGCAGCAACATGAATTATGAATGGTTCTTTTTTAAATCATCTCCGCTAACTCTTTGGTCAATATTTGTTTCAGAAATTTATGACAATGTGCACACATGAAAATGGCAGATGTTGCGATGGTGAAGCTGCATCAAGCTACTTATGGAAAAATATACCACAGCATCACAGAAAGGGTATACACCATGCCTTTTCTGTTTAAGCACTGATAGTGGCAAAAGACCTTAAAAGGGTCAGGCCTTCAAGTGCCCTCAAGAGTTAAAACAAAATCATTAAAATAGATAGAAACTTGAATACTATTGGAATAAGTCAAACCAAGAAATACACGGCAATGCACTGAATCCAAAAAAATCAAAACACTGTCAGTTGTAAGGGAAGCAACTATGAGATCAGTGATGCTGAGTGCTCTAACCTTAACCCAGCAAAGCCCATAGGCTCAAGGTTACTCATGTGATTAAAATTAAGCATATATTTATGGTCTTTGCCAGGTAGTGGTCAGAGTGCTTAGAATCCTGCAATATCAAGCCCTCCCAGATAAAAATGGATTTAGAAAGAGCTTACCGCCGAACCTCTGGAGGAACTCTAGGAGAACACCAATACGGCAGATGTTTAAACTTTTCTTTGCCTCCTGCAACGTAATAATGATTATCTTCTAGCTTATCTGAGCCATACACAGCAAGACCATCCAGGGTGTATAAACTGTAAGTAAAAGAAATACATATAAATATTGTGAGGTTGCAATTAATAGAGTTTAATACAGGAGCAGGCAATTATTTTGGGCATAGGGCCGCTTACCAAGTTTTGGCAAGCTGTTGAGGGCCACAAGGGTAACCCCACTCCTTGACAGGTGCCCCACCCGCTGGTCATCTTGGGACCTTTGCCCCTGGAAATCCCTCCCTTTGCCCCCCAGAAGTACTCCTTTAAGTAAGGGTTTGCCATTTTGGAATCAGAAAAATACCAAAACATATTCTAAACATCAAACATTTATTACAACATTCATTAATTTGATTTCAAAAAATATTTTTGTCCTGATTTACATATATTTGTGTAGTGTACATAGAGGTGATAGTATAATAGCTTAAAATGAAGTCTTACTATGGTATATTGTGGAGGGGTATGGGTATCTGGGGTGTGGGAGAGGGTGTGGGTGTGTGTGTGGATATGTGGTGTGGGTCGGTATGGGGTTTGTGAGTGTGTGTGTAGGGGAATGGTGGCTAGGGAGGGTTGTGGCATGTGTGGAGAGGGAGGATTTGCCCACAGCCCACTCCAGCAGGCAGAGCCCCCCACAGTGTTCCTGCCAGCCCAAGCTCCATGCTCCTGCTGCTCCTGGCCCTGGGGAACCGGTGTGACCCTGTGCTTCTGCTCGCAGTCTCTTCCCCCCATCTGCCACCACTGCCCTTCTGCCGCTTCACCATTGCCCCCGGAACAGCTCGCCATCCCAGCACCATGTCCCAGCTGCACAGCCGAGACTGCAGGACACAGCAGGAGCTGGACAGACCCAGCCAGCATTGCACAGACCCAGCCAAGAATCGCAGGGGCCGAGCTGGCTTCTGCTGTGTCCTGCAGCTCAGCACTGCAGCTGGGAGCCACATGGTGCCAGAGTGACTAGCAGGGGGTGGGAGGGGAGCAGTGGCAGCCTCAGGCAAATGGCTGTAGCAGGCAAAGGGTGAATGGGAGCAAGCAGGTGAGTGGGAGAGAGCAGGCACACAGAGCACAGCGACAGCTGGACGGGAGCACAGGGTCAGTACCGGCGGGGCCCAGAGTTCAATGGCAGAAGTGCAGGGTGGGGGTCGGCAGGGCTCTATGGAGACAAGCTGGGTTGTGCCAGCACGGAGAGGGGAAGCCAGCCCGGCTCCAAAGCTCCTGCCAGCCTGGCCCCGCGCTCCTGCTGCCCCGCTCTGGGCCTTGCCAGTGCTGGCCCTGACGCACCAGTGTGGGCTCCATGCTCCCACCCAGCGGTAGCTGTGTTCCACATGCCCACTTGCTACCTCTTCCCCCCCACCTGCTGCCGCTTTCACTGCTTTCCTGCCCATGGCTACTGCTGCTCTTCACTCACCTGCCAGCCACTCTGGCACCATGTGGTTCCTGGCTGCAGCACTGAGACCACAGCAGCTGGCTCGACCTGGCCCTGAGGACTGAGGCAATTGCCTCCAGTCCTCTCCTGCCTCTCCCGGTCTCCTCCCCCAAACTTATCTGAATGTCCCTCTAGCACAGGGAGGCAGGAACAGCCCCACAATCCCAGGCCAGAACCCTCTGCTAGGTATGGGGCTTCTGGCTTGGGGTGAGGCCAGGCAGGCCTTGCTTCTGCAGCTGCTTGGTCCTTCTGGTGGCTTCCCCAGGGTCCTACTGCCCCTGACTCCTGTCATCTTTGACAGACAGCCAGGGGCAGATAAATATTAATTTTCTAAACTTTTTAGGGGCCCTGCAGGCTGAATAGAAAGGCGTGGTGAGCCAGATCCAGCCAGAGACCACATTTATCCCACCTCTGGTTTAATGTAATAATGAAACATGTAGTGCAAGTGTAGTGCAGGTTTCAGGCTTTTTTTTAATGTTCCACACAGCTATGTTCAAGAGAACAGAAGAATTATCGCACATAGTTTACACATTTAGTTAATGTGGAAGATAAATCAACTTTCCTTGACTCAATCTCCACAGATTATAAAGCCCTGGGCAGCAAATTCTTATTAAACAAAAAAGAAGAACAGCCATAGATATAGATCAAGAACTATAGCAATGATAGAAAATGATTTTGTTATAAACAAATAAAAAGGAATGGATTCTCAACTGAAGCAAATGGGTGCCACTAAATAGAGCTATGTCCAGTTACTACAGAGCTGACAAATTTCCTGAAAACTTATGTTGTGGCTGAAGATATTCTTGCTTCATCACAGAATAATAATAAATTTTCTTATAAAAGCTGTGGTAAATCTCATTAACCAGTTTGGGCATAAAACAGAGACAAAACTACCTCTTCTTACTTTGACTAACCCTATTTTCTTTCACATACTTCAATACAACATCAACAGAACATTGAGAGCCAAACAGAGAGGAAAAACTGCTGAAAAGCTGCCCTCTATTTTAAAGGAAGAGGTCCAAAGTCTATCTCAACAGTGTGACAGTTTATCTAAACTACTGGACACAACTGCTGCAGTAGTATAAACAAATCAGACATTTCTACATACAGATAGGTAGAGACAGTCATCTAACTCGTAAGACCACACATTTGTCTACATGTTTGTCCATGGAGCATAGACATTAAAAAATTCTTATGCTGAAAACTCAAGCTTAGGACAGGATTAGTCCTTTGTGAAAAGTAGTATATTCTCAGAAATGCTTAAAAAAAACAGTTCTAAGTTGCATTTAGGTGCATATAATATACCATGGTGGGTATGGACAGCAGAAAAATTATCTAATTCTGAATAAGCATGGTTCCTAATAGACATAAGCAAACTGAAAAGAGAAAATATATCAGTTGTATTTTGTAACTGTTACAAATAATATCCGTCTTAAGCCAAAACTTCACATGCTCAGAAACATCCGAATGAGATACTTTCCTAGGAAGTCAAAGGGCCTTGTTACTCGGTAATTTGGGGTGGTTCCTGGAGCTCTTAACCCTCGGTTTATCCACACATTACCACCTGAAACTGTTATGCACTTGTTATACAGCTCCAAGTTACACCACTCCAGAGCAGAATCATCTCTGATTCATGCTACTCAGCTCCTGTTATACATGCAGCCACATGTAGGCTACACCTTTTCATGTAAACACCCTACCTGCTCCCCGCCTACCCTGGGCCCTCCCAAGCACCCAATACCTTGGCTCACTCCACCCCTCCATCCTTTTACCTTTCAGTCCTCCAGGTTCCTGCTGGCCTGAAGTGTGACTGATCCAAACTGAAGCAAGCACCAACACCCATCAACATTTGTGCAGCTCACAGTGTAAGGTGTAACAAGGCCCTCTGAGAAAGATAGCCTGAGCCACTCAGTTAAACTATACATGGAGGCTATAATACACTTTCTGGGTGTAAATACTAAAAGGTTTCTATATTTTAAAGCTAGTCCTTAAGAGTTCTGTTTGAAAAGTACGTATTGTCTCTGAACCATTAAATTAAGGGAAGGACAGAAGTTTCCACACAGAAAAGACATTTCTACAGAGTAGGCCTAAAAGAAAATCAAGTCAGATTAATCTGAATGGAAACCATGAGCTTTGAAGCCAAACTACCTGAATCAGGTATATATGTATAGAACATCAACCCAACATTAAAAGAACATAACAACTAGTACAGCATATGAACAGAAAGAACCCTAAACTGTCAGATTTAGGATTTTTAATAGCTTTATTAAATTACACACTGTATGTCCTACCTTTGAACACCTCCTGAACGAGGAAAAATTTTTTCATTCAATAGCGCAAGGACACTATCCCAGTTTCTCAAAGTGAATCTGGGTATGAGAAATTTTGCAGGTGGGACGAGAATTTCTCCATTTGTGAAAACACTGTCAAAGGAAAATATACATGTTTCTTTAGTAATGAAAGACATGAAAAGGGAAAGACAAAAATATATCAGTTTGGTAACATCATGTAATCAGAATCATTAGTGGCACTTAGACCACTTAGGTTTCAAGACTGCTTAAACGTTAGTCCATTTCATAAACACAAAAATTCAATAGTGAAATATTTCTATTTGGACAACCCAAGAAACATAAAGTCTTGAAAATGCAATTACTTTCTCTCCATGCTGTCCAAAGCTATCCTCAAAAATTCTACAGAAAATAAGGTCCCAGTCTTTAAAAGAGATTATAAAATCAATTGCTTAGTTTCACTGCTGTCCATATTAGAAAATGTGTCCTACTCACAGTTGTAAGAGTAACTGAATCACATTTTGGCTGACTCTCATTTTTAGAAGAAAATCATGCTGAATAATAAACCATAGGCAGCATGCAAGGCACGCTGGATGGCTCCACACATTGCATGCAGTACTTGTTCTAACTCACATCCTGGAACTGCCACCTTGTGCCACACAGCCCTGCCATATGCAGCACAGCCCTACAGCCACTTCTGCAGGGCTGTACTGCGTGGTCCCAGAGCCCCAGTTGCAAAGCTGTGCTACATAGCCCTGGAGCCCCAGAGCAGCTTCCCTGTACAAGGACTGTGCTGCATGCGGTGGCCACTTCACCACTCCAGGATGCGAACACACACAGCACCCACTCCAGATCTGGAATGTGAGGCCACTCTGTGTGCCTGCAGGGCTGGATGAATTTGACACTCCTGTCTTCCATTATCAGTGGGGAGTACAGCCAACAGAAGCAGCCCAAGCAGAGGCTGACTGGACAGAATGTTCTCACTATTCGTTTTAGCTCTAATCACTGCAGAGGACACAGGGTATTCTGTTGTAGATAACACGATTTCTCCTTAGAATCCTGCAGGCCATAGTACATTGAAATAGCGTAGGGAGAGCTCACCCTCTCAACCTTGGGAGATGACTATGTGTAGCAGAGGACAGTTCAACAAAACCAGGTAGAGGAATGGGAGCTCCTCTCTTCTTCAAAAAAGCTAAGTTAAAAACATTAATTAAAAGATTGTACTTCTATTTATATGATCTGTTATTCATTCTGACCTTAATTTTTCTATAGAATCTTACTTAGTTCTTTAAATTCTGTTTAACACATTTTATTACTTTCTTATTAATTTTTTAAGCTGACACTCAGGTTATGAGTGTCAACTTAAGATTTTATCACATTAACCATAATATTAAGCTATGGAAAAGCATTGACATATTATTTGTAGACATGTTTGTATCACAGCACCAAACTGTCCTACATACGTGATTCTGCCTGGAACCATTAGCACATCCAAAAATACAAAACTGTGAGTGGAAGAACCATGTTACAAAACATGTTGCAGATTCTATTCAAGCATTGTTTTTTGTTGACTTCAATTAATACAAATGCCACACAGCCTTTCTGTGTGAAGTGCCAGATTCTATAGTTTTAAGATTTTAAGCATAGTTAATGTCTAAAGTATTCACTTAAGTGTATTTACTGCTACCACCTAAGAAAAGTGTTTAGGTTCACATGCTTCCATCCTCCTCTTGAAAACTACTTTACTTAGAACATTTTCATCCCAATAAAACCGTTTCCTTTCCCCCTTTTATTCTTCCATTCCGTTGCTCTCTTCTTTCTTTCCTTTTAACTCAGCCAGTGCTCTAAATCCTAGTTCCACTACATCAGCACCAAACTTATCAAATCCTTGTGTTCTCTCTGTAATACTGCAACCTCCTCTCTGTCCTCACAAATAATCACATTGTTCCATATAAAACATGGCTGCTAAAGTCACCCTGGCCCAATATGAAGATGCTTCCCTACTCTCTGAAGACCTCTCCTTTCAAGATCCATTACCTACTTGCAGAAGAACTTTACCACATTGCCCTACACTACCACTGATATTGTGATTCCCACAAGAGGTACAACAGACATCTATTTAATTCCTTGTATGTACAAAAATGTACACAAAAACTGTTCAAATGTACTCAGCAGCACTGGGAAGGTAGTAATCTTATAACTATAATTATGGGCTCAGTCTTCTACCACAAGCTTTCCCCAGAAAAAATGCAGATACAAGAAACAAGTTTCAGCTACTTTTCCTGTAACTGTTTACAGTAGCTCAGAGCCTGATCTATTACCAGAGACATTAGGTCTATAACTGACCTTGAACCAGAAATGTAGTTTTTTGGAGACAAACTCCTTACCCCAGGCCAGAGAAGAAGCCTGGCACAGGAGCCAGCTTTGCTAGCTTTTATATCAACAGTGTGTTTCTATATGAAAAATATTTTCTACTGAACTGTTGTGTCTTAAATCAGCCACTTTCTAAGGACAGAAGTTGCACTTAAACCAATTTAAGTGACAGAAACGGGTTTAAACCTGTAACAGAACAGAAGTTCAGTGACTACAAACCACTTTCAAAATTTCATAGATTTCATAGATATTAGGGCTGGAAGGGACCTCAGAAGAGTCCAGCCCCTCACCCAAAGAGCAGGAAGTCAGCTGGGGTTATAGGACCCCAGCAAGATAAGCATCCAATCTACTCTTCTGTGTTCAAAACCAGCTTAAAATACACC